TACCAGCGTGGATAAATCGGCACAGTGTGAAGGAGCCTAAAGCCATGAAAAGGAATCATTCCTTTATTCTCGGAGTGGGAAAAATTCACCAACAGAAGAAAAATACAAAGATGCTAAAAATGATTTCTCTTGTGATCGAAGGAGCCGGTGAGGGAGGGCGGTTCTGAAAGTGTGCAAAATGTGCCTGTATGGTTTGTAGGTGTAAAAATGATTACCACCAGCAATGTTAAAAACTGCCACCAGCATCAGATGAAGTTGGTTTCCTGTAGTGATGGTTCTAAAGCCTAAGAGCTGCGATGAAGCTTCTCTGGTCATCCAGGCTGCCTTTCACAGCTGAAAGCCATTTCACCTCTGATCAAACAGAAAACCGTGTAAATAAGGGGAAACACTCATTGAGCCAATGGAGATAAACAAACCCAGCAGGATTGTTCTGGATGGACCACGGGTCTGTTTCAGAGGGACCACTCCGCTATAGGATGGAAATGTTTGGGTCTGACAGGAAGACGGTCTGACAGCGCATCCGCTTTGGGGGAAAATGTAAAGTAAAATCTTTCAATCTCAGAGAAAACAGTCGGGTTTGGAATCAAAACATTTTAATAAAATACTTGAACTGTTTTCCATCCTCAGGAACTCCTATCTTAGACAAAGTGGTGATCCTCTTTCAGAATAAAAATAAACAGGGTCCTACAGGAAAGCGTTCATCATATAAAACTGATCCTGAATAAAATAAAACGATCAAATTCTGCTTAAGATTATTCATAAATCTTACAGCTTTAAATTGAAGGGATTTGTTTTTTTATCCATAAAGTGTGAAGGCAATGAGGTAAAATGTAGAAGAAAGGAAAAACTTAAATCTAAATAAGTTTTTTTCTTAAAATAATTGCATTTCTTCTTTTAATTTAGAAAGTGAGACACTTTACCAATGGAACAAGATGATTAATATTTTGAATAAAAAAAATTGCATTTTATTATTTTAAGCAGATACTATCTTATTTGAACCAAATACCAAACCAAATTAAAGGTAAATGCATTAATTTCAGAAAGGTGTGCTTCTTACTGGCTGGTTTGTGCAGGGAATGAATTCCTACCTTGTCCCAGCAGCAGGTCTGTGTGGCTCAGAGGTGATCTGGCATGATTGGCTGCAGAGATCGGACCTCATTGATCAGTAATCATTGATCACCTTCTGCTGGAGGTTTGGGCTGAAATGATCTTCCCGGTTGAAACCTCCAGTAATGTCCTGCTGGTCCTCCTCTGGTAGATGGTTTCTCCATCTTCTTTGTTCCTCCTTGTTTTCTGATCAAAATCCCTGATAAACTGTATTTAATCCATAAAATAGTTTTTATATCAGGCCATTTAGTGAAAGAAGATATTTAATGTAACTTCGTGTGTCGTTCAGCAGTAGTTTTTATTTTAGTGCTCTGATCTGTGCAGCTCTGCCAGCATCGTCTCCTAAGGTTGGATCGTTTTCTGCAATACTTGAAATGAGGATCTTTCTCCTGAAGTTGGTGTGAGCCTGGTTCCCTGATGGACATGATGTCGCTAACCATGGTGAATGTGTTTGCAGATCATCCTGCAGATTGAACCTCTCCAAGAAAAGCTCCAGCTTTACAAAATGGAGGTTGCAAAGGATTCTGGCCGAGCAGCAGCGCTGCTGTCTGAGTTTGAAGAATCGTACTACGCTCCTGCTGAGGTACAGGCTTCTCCTTCCTCCTGCTGCTTTATGGAGCAGCTCTAGTTAAGCAGCTGTTGCTCCTCTCACCCTGCAGGCTCTGGTCGGCTGTGCCGAGGATCTGATCCACAGGTTGGAGGAGATTCTACCCGTAAAGTTCCAGAGCAGGGAGAGCTGGGCTCCGGATCTGGAGAGGCTGAAGGAGAACCTTCATTCGGACGTGAACTTCATTCTTCAAACCCTCAGGGCGGTTTCTGAATACCACCACTATCACAACAAGGCAGGTTCTCTTCCTGTGAGGAGGCAGAGCTAGGCATCGTTTACATCTGGTTTAAATCTGTTTAATCATGAAGTTTCTGTCATGGATCATCTCTCCATAACATAGCTGCTGCTTCTTTAGACCAACAGGTGGTACAGTCTGGTCCTCAGGGACAGCTTCCTGCCAGAGCTCCTTTCAGGCCTTCAAGGAGAGCCTCTTTCCACTCGGCAACAGAACGACCAAATGAAGACAATCCCTGCATGGAGACGGAGACTTTCTGCGTTCCTAAAGAAGAATCCTCCTCCAGACCTGGAGGAGCTGCTCCATCTGTCCCGTCTGTCCGCTTCCATCCCAGATGGTGACGTACAGCAGGCGGGCAGACGCCTGTCTCAGAGGTAAACCTCTCATGGGGTTCCTGTCTGTTATGTACCCAAGGTCTGGGGGTTCTGGGGAGGTAACATAAAAAATGTGTCCAGAGAAAATAAGTGGAATGTAAAATAATTTATTAGAAAAGGTGGTTTCACAGAACCAAAACATAATACAACGTAAGCCAATTAAAACAAAAGAAAAGGGGCAACAAATTCAAGAAGAGAGATTTTAGATTTTGAAACGCATCATCAGTGAAGGACCCAGGGTCATAGGGCGTTTCAGGTCTTTGATCTTCACACACCCTCACCTGGGCGATTAAACTGGGGCTGATCAGGCCTCAGTTTGTGTTCCAGCAGCGCGCTACTCCATGCGTCTCCCCTCTTGATCACCAGCCAGCTTGGGGCTCTTTCAGCGGCACCACTGATATTTCTTGTGGCTCTTCTCTCAAGCAACCCTCTGATGCAAAGGAGCCTGAATTCCTGATGCAGTCTGACTAAGGAAGCCTCTGCAGCCCACTTCTATTGGCCTTCCCTCACAGCGGGCCCTCTGCATGCCTCAATCAATCTGACTTGACAAGCTTGCTTTGTCGAGTCAGATGTTAAGACCAGATCTGGCCTCAGTGACGTCCTTGCAATGTGCTCTGGGAACTTTAACTGCCTTCTGGGGTCCACATGCAACTGCCGATCCAGAGCCATGGCTAGCAGTCCAGTTGTCCCCTTACCTGCCCTCAGGTTTCTCCCCTTCCCTGACAAAGAAGACATTGTGCCTCAAAGAGGACTGGTGCTTTGACTCCTGGATTCCCGTGCAGATGGTGTCTGCTACTGCCTTCAACACCTGGTTATGGCGCCATGTGAACCTTCCCTCTCCCAGCGCTTTAGGGCAGCAGCTCACGATGTGCTCCAGGGAACCATGAGCCGGGCACAGTGGGCATGTTGGTGCTTCTGCAAGGCCCCAGGTATAAAGGTGAGATGGACTTGGAAGGACATCATAGACCGACTGGATCAGGAACTTAAGTCTTGCAGGTTCATACTTCCATAGTTCTGTCCAGGTGATCTTCTGGGTGGATGCATGGTCCCAATTGGCCCAGGCTCCTTGCTGGCGCATTGCCACTATCCTACTTTGGCGTTCCTCCTCCACTTCTGCACAAATCTCTCCCTGTACCATCTGTTATCGCTCTTGTCCTCTGGCTTGGTCTTAGCGTGGCTTTGTGTTTACCTAGACCGGCTCGTCCAACTGCCACAGAGCCAACTAAGACGCTATGTCTCAATCTTTCTTCTGTTTGGTCGACTGCCTGCTGTGCTCACCATTTCCTCCCAGTTCTGACTGTGATGCCGGCAGAAGAGATTTTGCCGTCAGCAGAGTCTCTGTAAAGCAAAACACCTCCCTGGCTCTGGTGACTTTAAACTCCTCCGTTATGCCAGTCAAAGGAAGTGGCAGCTTGTTGGAATGCCCATAGAGCAAAGCTGCTGAGGCTCTTCTGCAGACGCAGACATCTTGGTAGGTATTGGCTGACATTGCGTTTAAACCCTCCACCATGGTTACTGGGACTTTATAAACCAGTAGTGGTCACAGTAGTCAAATATTAATCAACTACAAGTAAAAGTTACTTAAACAAAGTATTGAAGTACTCTCTTTTGAAAACGCTTAAGTATTCAAAAATACTAAATATTCTACTATTGGTACATTTCTGTATAATTTTCAGAGTAATTTTAAAGAATCTTGTAACTTTCAGAAACCATCTGATGTATTGATGATCTGGTTGAATCGTCTCTGTGCCGTGAGATGACATGTTTTGTGAATTGACACCATATATAACTGAATTAAATGCATAGAACCACCTGCTATAGATTCTACACCACCTTCAGCATAGTAATGACACAAAAAATAAGGGCAGATATTTGATATTTCTTAATTAAAAAACAAAAACAAAGTGAAAACAGGAGAGTTGATTCTCCTCCTACTTTCCCTGAGTAGAGGTTAAAGGTAGAATCTATAACAGCAGAGAAACTGCAGCTCTGCTCTGGGAACTCATCCTACTGAACAACTTGGTCACATGGCAGCAACTCAAAGTATAATAGAATTCATAAACTACTAATATCTGCTCTGAGTTTCTATAATTTGTCATTAAATCTCTAAATCAGTGGCGAGCAGATTCAGTCCTAAGGGCTGCTAACTGCATTGATGGAAATACATTTCAACAAAAAAGAAACGGTGGATTATTATAAAGCTGAGCCAAAAGGAAGAAGGAACTAGCAGCTTCCTGGACGTTGATTTGGGGGAAAAAGATGCAGATACTCAAAGTACTTAAGCAGAGTAATCAAGTAAATGTACCTTATTACATTCCACCACTGTTCAGAACCGATCCTCGGACGGCTCTAGGCTGCTCTAGTGGACCGTCACCACCTTCTCTCTGTGCTCTTTATTTTCCAGGTGCATGATCCTGAGGAAGCTGCTGATTTCCTCTGGGCCAGTGTCTGTGGAGCAGCTCCAGCTCGCCCTCCAGTGGCAGTACGAGGCGTTGCGTTGTAGCCATGGGAATCAGAGCCCTGAAAGCAGCAGTGACTCAGTGTCTGATGGTAACCTGAGCTTTACCAAGCAGAACCAAACGATACCTGAGAACTGGAATCCTCCCACCATGGTGGTCCCGCCTGCAGCTGCTGACTGGAAACAGTCTGCCAGCTCTTTGTTCTCTGGGCCTCATGGTTTGGGGGGGACCCAACTGCAGGCTCCAGGAGGAAAGGATGAGGTGGAGAAATCCCTAAACCCTGCTGAAATGAGAACTTCCCCAGAGCAACCCAGCTCTCTGAAGGGGAGCGTCTCCGTTATTTCAGATGAGAAGCATCACAGCAGGGAGTTTGCTTTGAGGCCTGCAGCAAACCTCTCCAGCATCCAGATCATCCCTAAAGTAGAAGCAGAATCCCTGAATCTGGAGATCAAGGTGAAGCGCTCGGCTTCACCTCCCACCAATCCCTGGCTCAGCCTGCCGGTGGACGAGTTGGAAAACTCCTACACAGTCACCATCACCCCAAAGCCCACGCCTCAGAAGCAGAGCTCTAAGATGACTGCTGCTGAGCAGAAACCGCCCCCCAAGAATGAGACGCTAAGCTGCACAGAGCCCAGAGATCCACCGAGCATAGACTGGGTGCTACATGCTGACAGTGGATGGACTGATCCTGAACTGAGCCCCATCCACAACATTCTGTCCAGCACAATCACTGATGGCAGAGAGACGTCCACCTGCGCCACAGACGGCGTTCCTACTCTGCTCTGGGATTCCTACGACCTCCATGAGGAGAAGCCAGAAGCAGACAGGTAGAGTTCTGAGATTGAATTCAGTTTATTTATACAGCGTCAATTCACATCATGTCATCTCAAGGCACTTTACAGTTCACCAGATCCTCCAGTCAGATTGATTCAAAGTTTTCTATCTAATGAAAACCAGCTGATTTCATTGACTCTT